TTGGAGTCAATCTATACGCAGTTTTTTAAAAGGTTATAAGCTGTGGTCCACTAGAGATCGTACAGCACCTATTCAAGCCAAAGAAGAGACATCAGAGGCTTATGCCAAACGTGTTAAAGACTGGGACAGTAACAATCACAAGATCATCACATGGCTACGCAACACATCCAATTCTTCCATTGGTATGGAATTTGGGAGTTACGAGATAGCCAAGGAGATCTGGGACATGTTTGTTTCTCGCTACTCTGGTTCTGATGGGGCTCGCCAATTTCAATTAATGGTTCAACTTTTTACTCTTAAACAAGAATCAAGTCAGTGAATTAATGAATTCTTCTCTCAGATGAAATGCTTATGGGATCAATTAGCTCTCTCCGAACCGATTTGGGAATATTCTTCTGAAGTAAAGAAATTTCTCGTGTATCGCAACCAGATTCGACTTTATCAGTTTCTGATGATTTTGAATCAGTACGTAGTCAGCTTCTCCATCACTCACCTCTTCCATCACTTGATCAAGCTCTCAATGAACTTATTTGAGAAGAGACACGCTTACAAACTCATCGTTCTCAGAATCTTATCACTGTTTTAGCCACACCATCTTCTGCTCCTCAAATAGTGCCATCTCAGTCAGCACCAGCTCGTCCTGCCTCATTTTTTCGACAAAATGGACTCAACAATACCAATCAGTCTAGTTCTACTGGACGCAACAAAAATAATCGATCTGGCTCTCAGCAATCCAACAACAAAAAGGATCGTTCAGGTTTTTACTGTATTTTTTGTCGACTTTCAGGGCATAACGTTGACTTTTGTCTTACTCGTGCTCGACTCTCCATTACAGCTGTGGCGAACACTAAATATCTGTTGATGTGTGTCAGTTTATAATCGCTCACAATAGCACGAATCTTTGTAGTATAGTACTATATAGAGGGTGTCGATCCCACAGGGAGAGGAGTTTCTTTGCTTTGTTCTTAACTAATATATTGGTTTACAGATAATTGGTTGAATTGATTAATTGGTTAGTTGTTACAAACATAAAATAAAATAAAATTAAATTAAACTAAAGTGATCAGAGAGAGAAAGAGAGAGGTCTTAGGGCTTTGACTTCACTGCAATCTTCATACTATGGCTAACTATTTCAACTCTGGGGATTTAACAAATTATATTTCAAATGAATTAAACTCAATAACATTCGTTCAATTCGAGTTTTGAAGAAGGATATTTTATAAATTGTAGTTAACTATGACCTATCTGCGGTTAGCATGGACTATCCACTTACCTACTTTAACTACCTTTGTAAACAGTCCATCTTTCCTAAGCATAGACTATGAAAATATTCATTTATAAAACACATTGGAACACCATTACATGATATCTATTCTTATGTCCAGCAAGGCTCCGCCAAATACCGTCCAATAAAAATGGATTGAGTATAGTTAATGAACAGTTATATCTAAGATAAGGTAATAACAATTCAGAAACTATTAAAACTTTAAAAGATCCAATTGAGTTGTCTCAATTGCTCATAATCATGTAATCAGAAATATAATATATATTAAAATTATCCCAGAGTTAAAATAATCAAACCATAGTAATCAAATGGGTTACATCAGTGCCCTAAGAGAGGAATTAGTTATTCATGACGATGCAGAATATCATCTGTGTTATTGTCATCTTCATCGTCACGGACGACACTTCTCTTCTCAGGATCTTCACATTCTAAGGTTATGGAAACCCTAAAAGCCACCACCACAATAACAGCCTTCTAAATAATACGAGAATAGGGAACTCCTTTTATCAAGGCATGTGCCTTCTTTTATAGAAGAAAATAAAGGTTTGGTGGGCTTTTAGGTCTTCTGGCTTATCTGGAGTGAGATACGACTTAGAAAAGAATAATCCCACAACTTCAAATATGATCTGTCCTAGAAGGCTCGAGCTTCAAAAGTGGAGCTCGAGCTTTTGGGGCTCAGGCTCGAGCTTTCTTGAATTATTACTCGAGTTTCAAAAAGATGGTGCTCGATCTTCAATTCTGTATTTAGTCAAATTTCTTCAACTATTTTCCGAAGCGTCTTTTCCTTCAACACTTAGAATATTTTGGGATTCTCTTCTTGTAACATTGCTGAATCCAATCTTCATTGGACTCGAGCTTTTAGTTCTGAGCTCGAGCTTTTGGTACTCAAGGCTCGAGCTTTGAAGAACGATGCTCGATCCTTAAAGTCTGGCACAAGGCCCTGGGAGCTTGGTTTTTCTTTAAAATTAACACTTTAAATATCGACACCTCATGCTCGAGCTTGAGGGCCAAGGCTCGAGCCTCTTGACGTAAGGCTCGAGCACCATTGAATAGGGCTCGAAATCTGAAGGTATAAGGCTCGAGCTTTAATGCCTTGTTGATTTTCTTCTTTTTTTTTGCAGGGCTCGAGCCTCAGGTTTTAGGCTCTAGCTTTAGTACTTGAATTCTTACAAACTTCACCATTTAAGCTCTCAATTTGCTTTAAATGACCGACAACGACTTTGTAAGCTTCGATATCAGTCTTTTCATCATAAAGTCCTGGTTTTAACCGTTTCTCTAGGAAATTACCTATAAACACACAATAAGCATAAATCAATCTGATAATGAATAGAAAGTATCACTTTAGGCCTTAACAAACGTATATTTAGGGGTTCGAATATACAATGTTACATGTCTTTTCTCTGTTCGAACTCTTATTGACGTGGTAGCTTCTAGTTATTGGAGACTTTTTCAGATGGATGTTAAGCATGCTTTTCTCAATGGTGATTTACTCTAGGAAGTATACATACAGCCTCCTTTAGGTTTTTCTCATCATTCTAATAAGGTGTGCAGACTTCGACGTGCCTTGTATGGTCTCAAACAGGCATCACGAGCTTGGTTTGCCAAATTTTGTCAGATTATCTCTCGCTTTGGCTACTCTATTAGTCCATATGACTCTGCCTTATTTTTTTGACACACCAATCGAGGTATCATTCTCTTTTTACTTTATATTGATGATATGATCATTATTGGCGATGATTTGATGGGAATTTAGGAGCTCAAACAGTTTCTCAATCGTCAGTTCAAGATGAAAGATCTTGGACCTCTCAGTTATTTTCTTGGTCTTGAGATAACTACATCTACAGATGGTTACTATCTTACTTAGGTGAAATACTTATCCGATCTTCTCTCGAAATCAGGTCTCACTGACAGTAAGATTGTTGATACCCCCCTTGAGTGCAATACAAGACTTAATCTACATGATGGGGAATCTCTTCGAGATGATACTTTGTATCGCCAATTGGTCGGTAGTCTAGTTTATCTCACTGTCGATCACTTGTCCCAATATCTCTCATGTCGTCCACATAGTTAGTGAATTCATGACTGCCCCTCGGTCCACTCATTTTGCTGCTGTTTATCGCATCCTTCGTTATCTCAAATGCATTATGTTTTATGGACTGCATTTTTCTTCCCAATCATCGCTTATTTTTCATACCTATTCAGATGCAAACTGGGCAGGAGATCTTACAGATCGTCGTTCCACCATAGGCTATTGTTTCTTTCTTGGTGATTCACTTATCTCTTGGCGAAGCAAGAAACAGACTGTGGTTACACGATTTAGCACAGAAGCTGGATCATATCCATTATATGCACCAGTATGGGACGGTGGCATATTAGGGATGGATTAGATCAAAACATATTCATACATACGGAATGGATTAACTAAAACAGTTAAATCCTACATAGATGCATGTCCTGTCAACTAAAACAGTTGAACGACATATCAGATGTTTGTTTTATTTTTATTTTTCTATATTAGGAAGAATTTATATATATATTTATGGTACCGTGATATGAGCTTAAGTCTCAAGATCATGGTTTGGGTGTGTATATCGCAAGGGATGAGTCACTAGATATTGCTGATGTTCCCTGATAGGTATAGGGTACATGCACACCGTAATGTGTGAGTTACATGTTACCTTCTATTCAGGCTGAACTACACGATAGCCTAGTAAACGTCCTATAGTGTGTATTTATATCTATATGGACTATTTTAGTTATTACCGAGCTATCTAGGATGTATCTTCGTATCGGGTTTATGTATGAATTGTAATAGGATGGAACTTGCATGTGGGCCTAACCTACTCTTATTTTTAGGTGTTCGTCAGTACCAGGCTTAAAGCTTGATCGTGATGAAGGAGATACAGTCATTCACTCTTCCGACTATATAGGATTTCCTTTCTTATTTTAGTTTTGGATTTTGGTTCTGTAATTTATTGTTCATTTGGGATTATTAGGGGTTCACTGGATGGATTCCCGAATTGTACGGATTGGAAGATTAAATTATATAATTCTATAATGTTTTTGGAGGATTTTCGTATTTAGAATTCTTTTTCAGCTTATTATTTTATTTTTAATTCTTTTGTATTCTTGCTTGTTTACATATTGATTGTCTGATATTCCTCGGATCTGTGCTTAGACTTGATCACCCGTGACCCTAGAATTGAGGGGTATCACAGTTATTTTATTCGTCATCATCTTCTTCAGAAGACCTTACAATTGCGGTCCATCACTTCAGATGACCCGATCGCTGATATCTTCACCAAATCGCTTCCGTCATGCCTCTTTCAAGATCTCATTTCCAAACTCAAGCTGGTTTTATATAATCCACCTTGATTTTGAGGGGGGCTGTTAGAATATATTATTACTATATTGTATACTATATTCTAACCTTATATAGAATTACCTCATATAGGTTTATCTTGTATAGGATTACCATATATATAGTTACCATATACATATATGGTTTACTTGTTCATCACACATAACCCCTCATATGTAAACCCCTATTATATACATCTTATTTCACATCAACAAAATATACACAGTTCTCTCTTTTATATTTAATAGTCCAAATTGGTTTCGTAAAAGAATATGTAAAGAATAGATGGTCATGGGACTCCTCAATCATTTGGCAAAGGCGGTAGAGCCTTGATTTAGAGAATGATTGCATGCATCAACAATCATAAGTGGAGAGGCGTCTTTGAACTGCAAGCCAGAGTGTAAATTTGCACCGCGGAATGGAGAAGGAATTCCAGACTAACTGATGCCATTCTTCAGGCTGAAAGTGTGGGGCAAGCCATTCCACTGTATGGCTGAGCGAGAACTTTCCTGTAGGAGAGGGGATCCAGACATTGGTGTCCGAGGATTGGGATGGTGGGTCAATAAGCCGTAGATCAGGAAAATGATGAAGCATGGCTGGAGGGAAATCCCAATTGTTATTGTTTGTGAGGGATAACAGCTTCTGTTTAGGGGGTATAGGTGAGTCCTTTATGAAATCCATTGATGCCCGGAAGGCCAGGTCCATCCTAAAGCCAATTATCCTCACAAAAGAAGGTTTGTGCACCATTACCCATTTTCTTCTTAATCATGGACCTAGCTGCACCCCTAAGTTGCAGCAAATTACTACGTAAATCCAATGTGCTCAAACTGAAATAAAATATCAATTACATCAATTATCCCAAGACATCAAAGGATACCACTTGCATATGCTTTCAAATACGCATCAAATTACACACACACATGTAAAAAATAAAAAAAACAGAGATGAGATAAAAGATCAAAAATTAGCTGCTTAGTTACCACAAGTATCATTCCTCTTTACAGCTGCTTAATGATCCTGCAACTATAATTCCTCTATACAGCTACTTAATGATCCTGCAAGTATCAGTCCTCTATATGTGCAACCTGCAAAAAAAAGGAAAAAGAAAAGATTGAAAATAATAACTATATATATATATATATATATATATATATATATATATATATTCCAAGTTATAAAAGGTTGATAAATGACTCATAACATTAGTTTTTTTTTTTTCCTAGTTGGTACTTACATACACATGCCTTCACAGAGGTTCGAACTTCAGACCACCCTTTAGAAAGTACGGGTCTGAAGTGTTCAACTACTCTTAGTGTTTTTATTTTTATTTTTTTTAGGTAAATTAAATGTTCAAAGTGTTGATCATGTAAAAGCATGCCAAAATATGTATAATATCATTGTAAATCCTAAGTTTTTTCAAGGTCCTTAATTTATCGTATTCTAATGGAGTATTATGTTTTCTATTTATTTAAAATTATTTAATACATGTTTTCATAGTTTATCAATAGAATTGATAAATTGTGGAAAGAAACTAAAAATGATTAATTTTAATTTTAGAATAATTTTACTTCGTCTGAGTAGCTGCTTGCGAATTTGGCAAAAAGTAACCAAATTATTTGATTCTTGTTTCCTTTTTAATAAATTATCTAGTTCTGTCATTTTCTTTTTAACGATATTTAATGGCATAGAAAAAAAATGCAAGTTTCTTAAAAAAAAGAAAAGAAAAGTTAATTAACTAATTGAGTTTATAATTTTTTGCTCCCAGAGAACAGTTGAACACTTGTTGTGCGTGTGTGTGTGTGTATATATATATATGTGTGTGTGTGTGTGTGTATACAATACTATAATGTGCTCCCCTCAAAAAAAATTCTGGCTCTATCCCTGCTAGTGTTTCATGAAGTATTAGACTTCAGGTTTGAATCTCTGGGTAAACAATTTTCATGGGGGTACCTACACGGGTTAAGTTGTAGTCCGGCTAAGTTTGAACTTGCCCACTCTTATTCAATGCATGTGACTTGTGGGGTATTGCGTGTGTTCAAGGTGGATTAGTCTTACTTGTAAAGGTGTGTTGGAATACCTCCTCTGTTGTTAAAAAAAAAAAAAAATTCTAAAATATTCATTTCTGAACTCTAACCAAACCGAGTTGGCTTGTTGCAACTTTGCAAAATTCCGGATTAGTCTCTCCAAATGTGTGGGATACCTCCTCCGCTGTGAAAAAAAAAAAAAACAAAAACTTCTAAAATTTTCATTTTCTTGACTCTAACCAAATCGAGCTGGCTTGTTGCAATTTTGAAAAATCCCTATATATGCATCATAATAATACGTAATATATATATATAAATATAAGTTTAAGAACCACTTCAAGCAGTTCAGGGTGCATGCTAGAATTAGATCCATACATCCAAACTTATATTCCTGAATCGTTAAGGTCCGAAGGAAATGAATAGAGAATTTGTAAGCATGTGATAAGGCCTAAACCAAATGAATAATGCCTTTTTTTTTTCCTCTCCCGGAAATTAAAAGCAACTGTTCAATAAATTTTATTCAAACCACATATAATGAATGCTTTGGGGAAAAAAAAATAGTGAAAGATTCTGAAATGGCTTGTCACTCAAAAAAAAAAAAAAAAAAGAAGTAGTTAAGTTTGAAACAATTTTATCATTCAATTTAACAAAAAATTCATGTAATGGAATGTGAATGTCTCACTTTGCATAAGTTTATCCTCAAAAATTAAGAAATTGCAAATGCAAGCTTAAAATTTCATTCGACTTAGGCCCTATACGGCAATTGCTTTTGCTTAGCGTGTTTTTTTTTTTTTTTTTTTTTTTTTCGGGTTACCATTTGAATAGTATGAATTTTTTTTGAAAAAAAACAAAAACCGGAAGCACTAAATTGGTTTTTTCGTATTGTAGAGAAAAACAATATATATAAAAAATAACTCTTAAATTATTTTTTTAATTAACCATTTTATTTTTCAAGCATGCAACACATTTTTAGAGGATATATTTTCATGTTTTGACTGTCAAATTTTTTACAACAAATATAACATTATCAAACATGTTTTGAAATAGTATTGAATACACTTTTTTTTTCACATAAATCACCTAGAGGCAAAGATAATACGCACAAACCATGTGTATTGAACAAGACGGAACAAGTTTATGACTAAACTTAATTATAACTTAACCGCGTGAGCACTCCACAACAAATATTTATCTATTATCTAAAAGTTCCAACTTGAGAAATGATATTCTACAGGGACAAGGATACAAGTCCACACCCGCTGGGCCAACCTATGGGGTTTGTGTCCTTACGTTGATGGCAGCTTAGAGTGTGTAACCCACGCTGTCCATAGCGCGTGACTTATTAAATTTTCTTTACTATTGAAATCAATATACACTACTTAGGTCATGACGCAAGAGAGCAAGCCGAGAGGAGAGAGAGAACCGCCCACTCGCCTTTATCTCTCTCTCCCTTCTCGCTTGCACACACTAAAACCCTCTTTCTCTCTCTACTTTCCCTCCTTTTCTCTTCAATTTCCCCTCATTTTCTAGGGTTTTTTTCTTCTACTTTTGTTCCATACAATCGCCTTAAAATGAGTAATAGCAACAAAGATCAATTCGACATGTCCGATCTCGGCGCCTCCCTCCTCACCGACACCGCCGGTAATCCTGAGCCTAAACTTCCGTATCTCTTATATATATATATATATAATAGTGTGTAAAGTTATAATCTTTTGCTGTTTAATCTTGTCCATAGCTCTCAGTGCGGAGGATCGTGATGGTCTAGTTAATGCCCTAAAAGTGAGTTACTTTCATTATCTATCAGTGTGTTTTTTCAGTTTATCTGATTGACGATATAGATTTTAGGGTTCTATTTTGTTTTGCCCTTTTTTATGTTCTATTTGGGGCTTTTGTAGAATAAGCTTCAGAATCTGGCTGGGCATCACTCGGATGTTCTCGAGAGTCTGACACCTATGGTCCGGAAGCGCGTTGAGGTTCTAAGAGAGCTTCAGGTTTGCTTTCGTATCAGTTCATATAATTACGTGAAATGATTATTCTATTACAGTTATGTTGTTTAGTTCTGTATTTACTTATATAAGTATAGTTTTTCATTTCATTTGTTGTGGGTTGCATAAAGTGATGTATGTTACAAAGAATCGGTTAACGTGGGTTTTCTTTTGTGTGCTCTATATTCATATACTTTCTTTCCCCTATTTATACAGTGATTTGCAATATTAGGAAGTGGAAAATCACACAGTAAATGTGTGTCTACTTGGTGCAATTTCCACCCATTTCTGTCTTTCAAAACTTTGTTACTTAAAACGTCGTATATTACGGTTGGATGCTTAAAAGAATGGGACTTATGGTACAGTTTTGATACTTCACTTGATATCCGCCTACGCGTCTGTGCATTATTAGCGTCATGTTAGATTTGCATTTTCATTTTGGCTGCTTGTTTGGGAAGTCCATATTGTTGAAGATTATCTGGTGACATATCAAGGTGCTTCCTTCAACACATTCAAATAATCAGATTCCTTCATTGATTTGTTTTTGGCAATCTTTTCTCTCATGTTTAGCGCTGTAAATGAGCCAAGCGGAGCTTTGGAGTGTTTGGGCTCGGCTCGGGTCAGACAAAGTGATGCTTGAGCCTCGGCTGGCCATGATTGAGCTCGGCTCGTCTATGCTCGAATGAGCTCAGCTCGGCCTGGCTGCTCTTTGTTTTTTTTTTTTTTTGCTACAAAGGCTGCTCGTTATATATACTTTATATATAAATATGTGTGTGTGTGTGTGTGTATATATAACCGATCTTAACTTTGTAGTTTATACCGATCTTTGTTTCATCTTCAAACTTTCACAGTCCTGATTTAATAAGAGAACAGAAGAGTGAGACTAGTAGAGAGAGAAATACGAGTAGATGAGAGAGAGACCAGTTGAGACTTGAGAGAGAGAGAGAGACACTGCTAGATGAGAAAGACGATGCTTTGGCTTGGGGATTTTTCTGTTACTTTGATCGTTGGCTGCTTGGGTCTTTTGCCGTTACTGTAATCGCCGCCTGCTTTGGGCTGTTGCTGCTGTGATCATAGGGTACTTTGGGGAGGCTGTGGTTGGACGAGGTTTTTACTTTTTAGGGTGCAAACTTTATAGTGATTATTCCATTAGGAATTTAGAGTTGAGATGATATGTTTATATAGATGGGGTTCAGACATGGGCTTATTTATAGACTTTGATTTGTTTGGGCTTAATGTATTTTATTTTTTACATGGTTGGTTACATGTATATGGATTGGGTTTGGATGGGCTAAAACAGTTGAGTTAAAAACAAAATGTGGAAGCCCAAACTTATAAATTAAAAAGAAAAAAGGTATTAGGATGTTGTTTAGGTTAAAGTTAATTTTAACTAAACTGGGTCTTGTATATAAGTTGAGTACATGTTCATATATCTATATCTCCATGTTCACAAGCTCATCAACGAGCTTTGTTCACAAACAGTTCACGAACTAACGAACTAACGAGCTGAGTTCGGCATTGTTTGAGATTACCCCGTTTACTAATCGAGCTTGGAAATCTTGTTTGAGCTTGGTTCATTTGTCAAATAAACAAATACGAGCTGAGCTCTTATCGAGCCGAGCTCGAGCTGTTCGTCAAACGTTTGGTTCATTTACAGTCCGAATCATGTTAATTTGTTGAGAATGTCTTGGTGGGTTTTTGTATAAATAAAATGGTATAATTTATTAATCTTGTATTATTAGTACTAGTATAAATATTACTTGTGTATAATTAGTATTAGTGTGAATATTTATTAGGTTATTAGTTATAGATTGGCAAGTGTGGTCCTGTATTAGTAGTGTTATAACATTCTTGAAGATAATTTAATGAAAAATTGAGGCACTTCCCTCGACACATTCAGATTTCCCGATTGATGTTGTTGGTGGGAAACCTTTTTCTAGCTTGTTAATTTGTTGAGCAATCGTTGGTTGGATACTGTGGTCAATATTGTCGATTGTGATGGTACTTTCGACAGAATGCAAGTTGGATAGTATTTTTCTAGAAAACCTTCCGTGAATTGTTGAATATAGGAACCTTTTATCAGTAGTATGATCTAATTACTTAATTAATGGTAGGCAAACTTCATCCTCAATCGGACATGGAAGTTCATTTTCCTGTTTGGCCTCCTAGCCTTCCAATGAAATTGCTATCAAGTATTGGAATGACTTTAATTGAGCGAGCAAGGGGAACACTTGGATCAAGCTTCCATATTTGGGTGGGTCAGCCTGTGTAGTTCATGAGCGGTTTTAGGTTAAATTAAATAAACTTCTAGGGTTTTGGGTTTTCTGTTATCCTGCATGAGGTAAGAACTCAAAAGAAGTTTCATAGTCAGGTAATCAAAGTTGCAACATGGCTGCTTCTTTGGTGTATTCAGGGAAAACTTTTCTGCAAGCTATGCACTTGATTGCATAATCATTAATATGTTGACCTTTCTCTGAGGACTTGTGATTAAACCATTAATCTAAGAGCTTTAGGGAGGCAAATCATATGATCTGAATCAAGAATATGAAGTGAACTTATTAAAAGACATCAGGTTTTCCTTCAATTACCTTTTGGTTGTTAGGGGTTCCTATATTAGGATTTTCAGACTACAAAAGTAAAAATAATGTCCGGTCGGTTGCTCTAAATTAATTAGAGGGGCTTTACAAGGATAGAGGTTTCTCTAAATTGGAGACTTGCCATAAATTATTCAAAACCTGCATGCAACATACCATATTAATTTATGCATCCCTTTTTTCGAGTCTATCTCATTTCATAGCATGTAATTGTGTCCATATTCCTGGTATCTTGTGATCTTTACGAATCCATCTCATTTCATAGCATGCAATTGTGTCCAGATTCCTGGCATCTTGAGATCTGTACTCTTTTGATTATGATTTCAAGATAGTAGAGTGGATTTCTGTTAATAGAAAAAGGCATGTGTCTAGAAAGGTACATAGTTTATTTTTTTTCTTGATATTCCAGTGGATCACTGTAGCACCACATATTGGGAAATGGAAAAGGCTTAGGCAAAGTGGTATGGCATTAACAGTGATGTTGAACTGAAAACATGGTTCACTGTCATTCTTTTTTTTTTTTTTTTGATAAGTAAGATTTTATTAAAAACGCCCAAAAAGGGAGCGAAGCCCAAAGAAACAAAAGGAACAAAAGGGCCAAAGGGCACCTTAGACCTTCTGAGAGGCCAAAACACAAAGTTTAGTGATCCAAAACAATTTTCTATTTCCTCTAGGTTTTTTCTTTTGTAAGATCCATTAAAAATAATGAAATGAATTCTAACATGACAGAATTCTTTGGATTAAGATCAAGAATAAGGCCATAGATCACATGTTGTAGCTTTACTGTATGCGATGCACTTGTTACGTGTCACGTATAATGTTCCTAGAAATAGATAGAAAAGTTTTGCAGTCTAATTATATTATATTTAATAAATAAGTTAAATTCTAATAGAAAGTACCCTTGCATTTGCAAGTCTGATGTCAAAGTGTTGCTGAAAGTGAGTTGATTCGTTTTGTGTTTGCTGAATTGTAGTGCTGTGTCGTAGCCTGACATGTTCTTAATTTGCAGAGCCAACATGATGAGCTAGAGGCAAAATTTTTTGAGGAAAGAGCAGCACTTGAAGCTAAATACCAGAAGCTTTATGAGCCAATGTACACAAAGGTATGGAGTTTATTAGGTGTTTTGACTTGCATATGGAAGCACAGCATTTCTATTGTTATTATTTTTCTATATCTGTTGCAAATTTTTGATGGGTGAAATATTAGAAATGAAATTGTCGATTTTAACAACTAACCGCCCCTAACATTTCTTGCCCTCAAAAAAAAAAAAATTTTTTTTTGCAAGGGTAGCACGACTGTCCCTTTTTTTGTTTAACCTGATCATTTTGTTGGACTCATTGCAGAGATATGAGATTGTGACTGGTGTTGTGGAAGTTGAAGGAGTTCCAAGTGAAGCTAATATGGGCCAAGAAGAGGATAAAGCCACAGAAGGTAACCTAATGTGCAAATTTCCTGAATTCTTCTGCGCGCACCTGTTGTAAAAATATTTGATATATCAATCTGAAGCTTGTATTGGACTGAATATATAATGCAGGGAAAGGTGTGCCTGACTTCTGGCTTACTGCCATGAAGACTAATGAAGTATTGGCTGAGGAGGTAGGAAAAATATAAAACCGTTATTATTGTTTCTTATTTCTTTGTTATCATCTGAATTGATTATGATGTGTTGCTACTTGGTTAGATCTCAGAGCGTGATGAAGAGGCTCTCAAATATCTAAGAGATATCAAGTGGTGTAGAATTGACGATCCAAAGGGCTTTAAGCTTGAGTTTTTCTTTGACACTAATCCCTTTTTCAAGAACTCTGTTCTGACAAAAACATATCACATGATTGATGAAGATGAACCTATCTTAGAGAAAGCAATAGGGTAACTTGCTAATTTTTGGGACATTAGTAACTTGCTATTTTCTTATATAGCTCCTTCTTTACCAAGTTCACATTATATTGGGTACTTTGCAGAACGGAGATTGAATGGCATCCAGGTAAATGCTTGACACAGAAGATCCTAAAGAAAAAGCCAAAGAAGGGGTCGAAGAATGCCAAACCTATCACTAAGACTGAAAATTGTGAAAGTTTTTTCAATTTCTTCAACCCTCCGGAGGTTCCTGAGGATGAGGAGGATATTGATGAAGATACTGTAAGTTCAATGACTATATGTGCCAAAATACCAATCAAATCCATTGGATTATGAGCTGATTTTCTATCAAATTTCTACTTTATGTTTTAACAGGCCGAAGAACTTCAGAATCAAATGGAACAAGACTATGATGTTGGGTGAGTCACATTACTTTTTGAGTTGTTGATATTATCCTAAAAATTTGCAAAAAAATTATATGGCATGACCAAAAAAATTGGCCAAAAATGTTGGGAAGATTACACTCAGAATTTGTGCAAAAAAATTGGCAGTAGTGACATGACCAAAAATGTAATTGGAAAATTGGGAAGATTTGTTTTCTTGGAAACCCAAAAGATAGATTGTATATGTACTATATAGCATGATTGAGATGCTTTTATGTGCTATGATGAGAAGCAAGGTGACTCACTATCGTTGCACTTTATGCAGTTCTACCATTCGGGACAAAATTATTCCTCACGCTGTGTCGTGGTTTACGGGGGAGGCTGCTCAGGGGGATGAGTTTGAAGATATGGAAGAAGATGATGAAGATGGCGATGATGATGAAGACGAAGAAGATGAAGATGACGAGGAAGACGAAGACGAAGATGAAGAGGAAGGCAAGAGCAAGAGCAAGAGCAAGAGGAAGGTAAAGATTCAAAATTAAATATGCACATATATATAAATCCAAACCCTATCACTCTATTCATCTAAATTTTAGATTTTTAATTTTTGAAGATGCTAATACATTTCTTTCTTTCTTTCTTTCCTTCCTTCCTGGTAATTTGGTTGATATATTCTTGCAGTCATCTGGACCAAAGGTGAGATAATAACCTTGTTGTGTTTTTTTTACGTTGTAAGAAATGTAAATAAGCGTCTTAGCAGGCTTGTGCTTTACACTGTTAAATGCAGAAGATAAGCGGATCACTAGGTGGGGAAGGTCCGCAGGGTGAGCGTCCCCCAGAGTGCAAGCAACAGTAGCATTATATTGCAGAATAGGGCATATGGAGGAGGTGGTGCGGTGCTGGTGTCCATGGTTTTTTTTTTTTTCTTAGTGTTCTGCATCTTCGATTTTCTCCGAGTCTATTAAATTGCCATCATTGTCTCTTTTTAGGGAGAGGACGTGTTCAGTTTGTTGGGGTCTCAGTTTTTCTGGTTTGCCAGGGGGAATTTTAAAGAAATCATTCAACTATTTATGTTGCTTTTGTTCTTAATGATGATCATGTGGTATTATTAGGATTTCAAATGAATGAATTTAGGTTGATTATGTAAGAATTATAGTTTGATGGATTTGAGAGGAGTGCCTATTTTACTTTAATTCATTTTTCATCACAAGCAGCAAAATTTGATCAAGTCAATGAATAAATATATTGAAAAGGAACAATAAAGAGAAACAAGAATTGTCATAAATCAGTGGAGAAAAAAATCTTCATTGGTATACATCTCGGTCTAACTTATGTGTAGGCGCTTCTTTGTTTCAATTGATTTGAGCTCTCTTCATGCTCCGGGGACTCAATCTTGAGATTTTTACACAGAGTTCCATTGTTGAAAGCATAAAGATGGGCCCCATTATCAATAGTAAATGTTGGATAAACCCTAGCAGTGATGCAAGCTTTTCCCTCCAAACCAAAGCTTTCAACAATGGAGTTATCGATCTGCAGAAAAACACAAGATATAATGGTGAAAAAGATTGCTCAAAGGAGGAGGAATGCAGACTTAAGCAGGTGCACCTATGTATAGGAAATTGTCCCCAAGCCAAAAATTATTGTGGCCCTAGTTATGCTGGCAATGTCATTTGTATGTAAATGTATCATCTCGATTTATATCCCACCAGTAAGGGTGGGGACAATAGGGGCCATTTGCTTGGTGCTGTGTTACAAATGTAGGATCAACAATGTAAAAATCTAGTTCAAGTCCTAGGGCATCCGCCAAGATTATCTATCCACTTTTTAGTGACAATTTCTCATGAAAAGGGTCCACGTCCACAAAAGCTCCATAAAGTGGTTTTGTCATAATCAAGATGTAATGAAGACCTGTTCAAATGCAATTTCTAAATCTGCCTGTAAAAGTTCAAAACTTGTACTTCATGATCACTGCCAACACATTTGTGTCCAAATGAACAAATACAAACTGGTGAAATCTATAATGACGCCATAACCAAAATCTCACCTGTGTGGCTGTGACCCCAGAAACTTCCTGATTCTCCATTGAGAACTGTGCTTGGTGAGTCAACTCAGTTTGTACGTAGCGTTTGGATCTCTTCAATTGGCCATTGAACCAATTGTTTTCCAGATCTATGCAGCCAAATTTTCCTGGGAAATGACTGCAAAATGAAATTCAGGTGAACATTTTTGTAACTACTCCTAGAGTGACTCAGAGTTGACTCCACGCTCACACATTTTACAAATTGCTCAATAAACCCCTCACCTTCCCTTTGGGAGAGAATGGGTAATACCATTTGGCTTATGGCCCAGGTCCAGAAAAATATTAATATCTTAATATTTTGAACAAGTTTAAATCTAGTCCCTGAATAGGATTCATTGAAATACCCAATTAACGGTTATAACTAAATTAACTGCAGCCATTAGCCCTGATGAAATGATTTCCACTTTTCAAATGAGAGGTCAAGAGTTCAAGCTCTGTTAGAGACAATAAAATAGCCTAAATGAAATGATCTCTACTTCCCAAAGTGGAAGTCTGAGAGTTTAATCTTTGTTAGAGACAATATTGTAGATGTGTGTGCATTTGCTTGAACGTTCGAAAAGAAATTACCTAAATTCTAGACTATCCCTTCATGACATTAAATGGTATCATTCGTCGATTCACTAATAACAAGGCAATATTGTAGATGTGTGTGCATTTGCTTGCATGTTCGAAAAGAAATTACCTGAATTCCAAAATATCCCTTCATGACATTAATGATATCATTCGTCGATTCGCTGAACCATCCCCACAATATCTTCCGGTTCTCAACATTGTCGAAGAGTATCTTCGAGGCATAGATGCGTCGATTCGCTGAACCATCCCCACAATATCTTCCGGTTCTTAGCATTGTCGAAGAGTATCTTTGAGGCATAGAATTTCCCATAATCATAGCTTAATTCCGAGGCATTCATCACGGAATAAGGCCAATTTATGACATAATTTGCAAATTAGTTTGGGGTAGTTTTGCAACATATCCAATTTATAATTATTTTCGGTGAAGTATAAAATTGCAATTATAATCTAATTAATAAGTAAAAAATGGTAAAAAAGTATTTTCATTTTTACAAATTCCACCTTATTTTAAATATACAAATGAGATTTAATGTGAAATCCAAACCAATTATTATTATTTTTTAATTTCAAATCCTAAAAAAAGTTTGGTTCCAAACAAAATTAGGCCAACTTATGGAAATTCAATATTACTTTTTATTTTTATTTTTATTTTTTATCTTTCTAAAATTCAATATTACCGATGGTATCAAAAAGTAAATAAAAGTGAGAGAGCCTTGCACAACCATTTGGCCCATACTGTGTACAGACAAAAGTAAATGGCCATAACCTTCTTCGTCAAGGCCAATTACGCTCACCATCTATCCACTGCGATTATTCTCAGTTCACCACCGAAATTTGCTGTCTCGACGGCCATGGCAATGTGCTCAAGCTTTTGCCCTCGTGTATCAAAGCACTTCAGAGGCATACCCATCTCTTCATTCCCGTCAAAACCACCATTTTCTGTTTCTATCAAGGCTTTCTCTTCTCAAACTACTAATTCTACAATCAAAGGTATTCTGTTTTTATTCTTTACTGGGTATTTCTTTTTTCCTTTTAGTTTTTGTAATACTATTCATAGAAATTCAATTTTCCTAATTTCTTACTTCTTAGTATCAAGTCTATCCTATACTGCCCACAATTTTATTATTTTATTTATTATTTTTTTTGTGCTGTGTTCATGGGCTTCGATAATTCATTGTAATTTTCAGGATTGGGAATGTTGCTAAGCATAGTTGGGTGGTGGTGTTATCATTATTATTTTTTCTTCCCACCCAGAATGTTGAAATGTAATTGAAAAAACTCGAGCAAAATCGTGCGGGCTCAGGTCCAAAGCGGACAATATCACACCATGTGGTGGAGTGGGTCGTTATAAATGGTATCAGAGCCTGACCCAGCCGGATGTGTGCCGACAGAGACGTCGGGCCTCTAAGGGGGGTGGATTGTGATGACCTTGTGGGCGGATGCGCCGTGGGCGGGTGTGAGAGACATTGTCAGGCTACCACACTGGCGAGCTACGGGTGCACAGTCCCACATCGTCTGGGTAGAGGAAAGGTGAAGTGCTTATATGTAAGCGTGTCACCTCCAATTGGTACGAGGCCTTTTGGGGTGAAACCCAAGAGCAAAACCGTGCGAGCTCAGGCTCAAAGCGGACAATATCATACCAGAATCCAAAAACACAAAACGGTGGAGTGGGTCGTTACAGTATCAGCCTCTTACCTCCCAAAGGGATTAGAAAGTTATTTGAATTACTTCACTGGCTTCAATTGGGGTAATTTAGATGTTCCATATATATTTGATGGCTCCATTGTTTTTTGCATTCAAATGGATGTATAGATATAATGAATTGGCCATTGGGCCATGAGAGATAATGGGAATTATCATTGCAGTTGATGGTATAGTATCATTTTCAGGACTTTCAGAAAATGACCCATTTCACTATCTTCCGGGATAACTGTTAACTTCTTATTATAAGCATTATTCAATATGTTGGAAATAAGAAATTATCATGAAATGCATGTGGGGTGCTCAAAATAAATCAATAAAATCTTAGGTTCTCTACGCAAACCCTTGTTATTATCTATTTACTTACATGGATGGGGGTGGGGGTGTGAATTTCCACTAGAAGCATTTCAAGTTGTTGCAATTTGATAGGTACCTTGTCAAAGGTGTTTATGCTATAGTAAAAAAGAGTAGGTCTTAAACATTTTACTAATACCTAGAACTTGGAAATGTGAAAAGGAAAACTATCTAATGGAAAAAAAAAATCCAGATGAATATGGTTGGACTTGTTCTTATGAGATACTATAAAGGTTAGCCAGAAAACTCCAAAATTGATGGGTTGGGGATGCTAAATACCTGCCTACCGCATGGTGATTGAGTTAGAGAATGGATTTCTTCTCTTATCATGTGTAGATAGTGATAGTAAATAGTATGAAAGGAGTTTTGTGTGTTTTAGAATGCCAAAGTGACTTCTTGCTAAACCAACGTCCAAAAAAAAGGACAGCTTATGGAGATAAATCTCTGAATCAAATTAAGTTTGGAAATCTTATCAACTTCCGTAAACCTTAACAAGCTTTAAGCCTCATTAAACTTGACTCGTTGTTTTGTCATGAACATTGCAAATTGTGTAGGTTTGAAATCCATAATGGCTGAGGTATAAATCATATTGGTCAATGCGACTTCATATAATAATGGATTTCAGTTATAGCAAAAGGAAGAAAAAAAGAAGAAAGAAGATTAATTGCCTTCATTAAGGATTAATTATTGTGTCAAAGCTAGGTATATTTGAATAACTAGCATTGTAATAATTTCATAGAGAAATCCCAACTTGGTTTTGTGTTCTTCCCATATTTATTTAAATATCAAATTCTAAATAATGGTCCGCTTATTCTAGAATTATGTAACAAGGAGAGTGGTGGGTTTCTAATCTGCATTTTGCATAGATTTGAATCATTATACATCTCAGAAGTTCCAAAATCAAAATGGTGATGGGGGAACTTTTAAGCAGTGTCTAATGCACATGTAAAACATATTATCTATATTCCTTTTAAATAGACAATATTGATGATTATAATCTATGTTACCTGGACTCGAGTACGTGTGTCGGGTGAGGATTTGCAATCAAGTAAAGACATAATAAAATTTCAAACACGTCGCATGGACACTACTAAATATTCATATTAGTTACTATTTTTAATTTATCTTATAGAGTAAAATAATTTCTTTATGACACATAGTGTTTAATATAGGAATTTCACTCATTTTGAAACAATAATATGATCAAATTGAATCAATGGATTTTTTAGGTGCCTGTTGAACCAAAAGTGTCAGACACATATCCTATACACATGTTTAAGTACTGTGTGTCTGAAACGGGTATTTCACATGCTTTTGAAGAATCCGTACAACATAGGTCATAATGCTATGGACACTTTAGAGGTAGCAACAGTAGGAAAGGCATTGTGCTAACAGTAACACTAAGGCGCCAAGGTCTCGAAGAGCCCAAGCACAAGGTGCAACATAAGGTGTGGGCTTGATTGAAGTAAGGCGCATGCGCAGCAGAAGTGAATATTAAATATAAGTACAGGAACATGCGCATAAATCCTTTCGGTATGCATTTGCATTAACTGAATCAAATACTAAAATTGTGCAACAACAAAAAGCAATAATCATATATTAAACATATATTATATTATGATGAAAGTCAAGAATGAAGCATGGGAAACAATTAGTGCAAGTAGTCACATAAGCTCATGAATTCCGTCAAAGATACGTACGATTTAACAATCGATCCATTGAATATTACCAAATTTGATGTAGAGTATGTAGATTCATGCTCATATAATAAACAAAGAAAAAGATATGAATGTAACGATTAAAAATAAGAGGCACGCTTTTTTTGAACCTAGAGTCTTGCTAAAAAGCACAGGTCTTGATTGAAAGGGCCAAGCCTGTAGTATGTTGAGCCGCTCTAGCTGAGAGTTGATGAGCTTGGGGCTTTTTTGGAGTCTAGGCACACCTTTAACAACTATGAGTAGTAGCAGGATGCAATATTCTATAAACAGGGTTAGTGGTTAGGCAACAGTAGTTGTGGGGTTGCTGGTGATGGTGGTGGTTACTGTTTTTGTTAGTTAATAATTGACAGCCAACGAGGTTGAAGTTATGCATTGGTAATGTTGGTGGTAGGGATACTTGGCAACCAAAGAGGTCGAGGTTGTCTAGTGGTGAAGTGGTGGTTGGAGTGTTAATAATGGCAAATGAAGTGGTGAAGTGATGTTTGTAGTTAGAGGTGGTAGAGATGGCAACACATTTTCTATAAGAGTAAAATAAACACTAGCGCTTTGTTCTGATTTTATTCCTTTTTTTTAATTTTATTGTTTTATTTTTCGCAACAACAACAACCAAATAGAAGGGAACTAAAAGAAAACTTAGGGTCTATAAAAAAAAGGATTTGTCACTGTGATCTTGTAAACCTCTTGGGTTTCAAATTATTATAATATGAGGGCTTTTACATTTATTTGATCAACTCATTTGGTGAATATAAAGTGTTTTATTGACTCAAATGATATTTCTTCCAACCGAGTTTTAGTTTGTCTTTGCAGCAGATGAAAAGCCAGCACATGTTGGTTTTCTAGGACTTGGAATTATGGGCTCTCCAATGGCACAAAATCTTTTAAAAGCTGGGTATGACTAGATTCCTTTACTTGATTTGAGCTAGAGCATTGCAAAACTGGTTAAGAGGTTATCAGGAGCGCAAGGTTGATTTCTGTTGATAACAAATAATCCAAAATTCAACATACCAAATCTGTATTTTTCTTCTGACTGTTAGAATGTATTCTTTTGAATTGTCCTGCAGTTCTACATGTTTTCTGGCAAATTCTTTTTACATGTTCTTAGGATTGTTATTCAATTATCCTAGCGGAGGTGGTAACATTGTCAAATTATTGTTTGATGCTTCAAGGAAAATTCAAAGCACATGTGCACCTAAGATTCTTTAGAACCATCAAAATATGCTTTCACAACTCGGCTGAATGTATTGTTGGGATTTTAATTCCTTCTTTTGCATGTTGTAGATGTGATGTGACTGTTTGGAATAGGACAAAGAGCAAATGTGATCCTCTCATCTCCTTGGGTGCAAAGTAAGTTTTTGATGTACTAGCTACATAAATGTGTTTTTGTGATGCTCCATATTTTTGTTAGATTAAGCCTATGATGGAGCAACATCTTGGTAGTTGCAACAAGCTCTTCTCTTGATTATCATAATTGGATCATGAAACACTGCACATGCCATATCATTGTATTGCTCACATCGAGATGGTCCCACTTAGCTCATAATATACTAAAATGAGATCACACATTTTTCTTTGATGGATCAGATTGGTCAAACTTAGTCCACAGTTGCATTCATACCTTGTTATTTGTGCAAGATGAGATCTAAAAATAGCGGTCATGCTTACTTGAGGTCTCTTTCTCATAGCATTTGCCTTTTTGTTATATCTTGGAACATCTTTAATTGGAATGTCACGTTATTTGCATATGAATTTTAGCTTATTACTGTGTTACAGCCCTTTTCTATTTATAACAAGTGATATATATATTTTTAAAATGAAAAATTACTTAGAAAAAATATTGAAGAAGACAAATTAGATATATTTTGTGTGAACATGCACGTTTATGAAATAGGACCAGATCCTAGCTCTACCGCTGGTTTCATACACCAACACCTTGCTAAACTGCTAGCTAGCTTTCAAGAATTGAAATGAAGAGGCACCAATATATCACTGGACCATTAGCCTTGTGCTTTAAGCATGCTTGCAAAATATGTACTCTCTTTTGGTACATTCTATCTCATTTATTAATTATTTTAATAATTCTTTGTTTCTTTTATTTATTTATTTATTTTAATGGTTAGGGTTGAGGGTGTGATGCCGTGGCCTGAATTTTGTTTCGGCCCAGGTCACAACCCGAAAAATTGGATTTGACCCGTTTTCTCTTGTGGGTTGTGGACCTGGTTATAGAACTCTCTTGTAGCCCAGTATACAAGGGTGTTTAAGATTTGGGGGTGTGTTGAAGAGAGAACACTGATAGCCGCATTTGGAGAGTGTTAGAGAGAGAGAGGGTCTTTTAATCTCCTGGTTTTCACATAGTGAAATCTTTCGCCGGATCTTTATCTTGGATCCCATTCCGAACCATGTAAATCTTTGTGTTCTTTGAGTGTGGTGTGCTTACTTTTCTGTCGATTTTTTGATTGTGTTCTTGGTTCGCAGTAATTTTCACAACAGAGGGTGGATTGTTTGAGAGTTCTTCGGTGGGTTACAAATACAAACTTTATACCAAAGGTTTAGAAATGAAACTTGGACATCTCTTCCAGTAACTCAAAACCAACAAAGCTAAATCTTGATGGTAGCAATATTATGCACCCACAGAATAAGGAAAACAGACAATGAGTGAAATGTTATATCACCATTATTTTCTACTTTCCACAAGAGACAGGTCAACAAATATACTGTACATTTAATGGTGTATGTGTTTTCTGATCCCCTGATACTAATTTCCTGCTCTGATATACTCTCAGTTAGTGATTCAATGATTGTTTTCAGATGCATATTACTTGTATGTATTTTGAAGGTTCCATAATCTGAAACTTTGTTTGGAAGTGTCATCATATTCAATAGAGATACATCAAAGGCTCCTTGCTCTTTCACTGGGTAAAGATCAGTGTTATTCTGACCGGGAGAGACTGTGTTGAAGTTCCTAGGAAGACTTGTACTTAGGTACTGGTGTGACTTTAGGACAACCGACCAAGCTGTTAGCATCTTCATATCCAGGACTCTCTAATGCTCATGTTTCATATATACTTTTTTCTTGCCATCATAGGATGTATGAAAAATGCCATTCTTTTTTTCCTTTGTCATGTTGAACTTTATCTACAAGGGAACTAGCTGTGTGCCGATTTTTGGTCCGTATCCATACCTTTGGAAAACATTAACTGTGAAAATTCTCACTTTATATGTATAGTTTTCTTTCATGCAGATATAGGTCAACCCCTGAGGAAGTGGCTGCATCTTGTGATGTCACATTTGCCATGCTTGCTGATCCCGAAAGTGCTGTGAGTATGTTTCATTAAGTATATTAGCCTCCCAGTTCTATTAGTGATGGCTAGTTATTACTTTTTAACAGGTTGAGGTTGCTTGTGGGGAACATGGAGCTGCAAATGGCATGAGTCCAGGAAAAGGGTACTTCTTTAACTTTCTCACGAGAAGGATTTTTTTGATAATAACCTATGATTCATCTATCACCTTTCTTTTGCACCATGCCATAATCTCTTTATAAGAATTTCTCTGATTTGATCTGACATTTTTTTGGTGACTGTTAGAATAGTTTATTTTCAATTTGCTTAATTATTAGCGTGCCATTTTTAAAATTCATTATTATTATTAATTTTTGGGAAAAAAATAGGCCTCCCGTGCTTTTGTACTGAATGTCTGATGGATCTAAAATCTAAATTAGTGGTTATAGAAGAAATATCCTCAAGAAAGTATAGATGGAGCATGACCACAGACTAACTTCTACAAATAAAGGATGAGGAGTCACGGACACGTCAAGGACATATTAATTTTAAAAATTCTATTTTATATATAAATGCATTTTAAAAGGAAAAATATGTAGATTTGATAGATTCTTTCTAAAAAATATGTAGATATAATTAACTTATTTACAATTTCTGTATTCAAACGTGTCAGTTGCATACTTGACTTGTTTTGGCCATATCTTCTGTAAGACTTGAATGTGCAGGCTATGCCCAACATGTTTCTAAGAGTGTTGGTGGTGATGTGTCTAACATGGTGTTGGAAACGAACACAGCCCTCCTAAGAGGTGTCCTTGCTTCGGAGGAAACTATAGTCAAATTACTTCTATTTGCAGTTTTTAATTTTATAATTCATGAAACTATTCATAGGAGGAACACTTTAATCTGGGGAAAATCAAAACAATCGTGCTTGCTATATTCACAACTGCAATAATATGAGAAAGAAAAATAATTTGAGAGATATGCGCCATTTACAGGCCATCAGAATTCCTTTTTCCCATCATTAGGAGGCATTTCTTTTGAAGATGCTTGCAGATACACCATCGTTCTCTATAACATAAACAAAAATTATTTTGATTTAAAAAAAATCGTTCCAGATGAACTTCACATGCGTTTATTCTCTATGAAATTTTCTATGACCAATTTGCCAATTATTCTGCATAATCATGGAACTTTCAATTCTATGCTCTATGCTTGCTGATTCATAATTTCATCGATCATTATAGCTCCTTACAAATCACTACAATTGTAGATATCAATACATGTGTATATATAAAGATGTGCATGTGTATATATCTCGTGGAATTTTCCTTCAATTCACCCATATATCTCTCTCTTTGGTGTAAATCATTTGCCTTTCCCCAAATGTGACACGTGGCTTGTCTGTTCTTTCTTTGTATGGATGTTTGCAGGTATGTGGATGTTTCCACAGTTGATGGTGAGACCTCTAAAATGATTGGTAGACATGTCAAGGCTACTGGAGCACTATTCTTGGAGGCGAGTTACTTCAGTGTTTTTTTTCCCTCCCTAGTCATCTTTATTTAGCATTCAGAGTTCATACTGTATTGTTTTCTTTTCCTTTTTGGTGAATACTTTATTCAATTTTAGAAATTTCCCACCATTATAATACACCTAAGTTGTGCGTTCTTTCGTCAATTGAATGATGACCATATGTAAGGAAATTTCAATTTAGCTTTGTTTCTTTTCTAGTAGGCTCCAGTTTCAGGCTCCAAAAAGCCAGCAGAAGACGGACAGCTGATATTTCTTACTGCTGGTACGCAACGTTCTTTTTATTGGTTATCTATGGATTTCTTTAGTCGCACTTTTTCTTCCATTTTTCACATATTAACCTTCTTTTTCCATCCAAAATCTGTGTTGCTTGACACAGTAAACGAGACTTTATATAACTGAAGCTATGGCTGCAATATTTCAGGTGACAGATCTCTATATGACACAGTTGGTCCACTCTTGGATGTAATGGGAAAGGTATTTCTTCCTGTAACTTTTTGCTTCCTTAACGACCATTTCTTATTTCTTATTCTTAATTTTGTTTTATCCTCACTGTAATTTCAGTCAAGATTTTACCTTGGGGATGTTGGAAATGGAGCTGCAATGAAGCTTGTTGTTAACATGATCATGGGAAGGTTATGCAACTTTCTCTCTAGATAATTCATGTTGTTTTTATGCCTTCTTTGAGTAATTTGATTATTAATGGTTTTTTCGTTGTCTTTTAAAAATTTGCAGTATGATGGCATCTTTTTCTGAAGGATTACTTCTTAGTGAGAAAGTGGGACTGGACCCAAGTGTACTGGTAGAGGTAGTCCCTAGTTCAAGACAGATCTTATTAAACATTAAGTTCTATGTGGTCATTCACAGATCCCATGTGAATTATATCAGTTGTTGTTGTTGTTTGTTCCATTAATTCAATAATGCATGAGGAGAATGGGATGTTAGAGAATTTAACACTACTAAGGAGTACTAGGGCTTGTTTGGTCCAGTTCTTTGGAAACACAAAATGGTTTGAACAACTTTAAAAGAAAGTGTCTAGAATTAGGCTTTTTTTTGGCTCGGTTGAAACTATCAACCAAGTTACCAAACAAATTTTCAATCTGTTCTCTATTTTTCAGGAAACTCTTAGCCACTTGGGGGTGGGGGTGTTGATGCAGGAGTAGAATGAAAGCAGAGGATGACAGACGAAGGGGGTGAGAAGGGAGAGTGAATAGATAGGAGACAGAGGGGTTGAAAAAAGCAAGAATAGAAAAGGGAAGAAGAAGAGCAGAGAGAAATCTTAAGATCAATATACCCAAAAACTGACTGACTAGTTCTGTTAGATGCAGCCTTTTATAGGCAAACCCTAAAAGAAAAATAAATTGAACTACCCAATAAATACTAAAAATATCTAGTAACCACTAAAATGAAAATACTAAAATATCCCTAATAAATGTCCTTGTGCCTACGCTTGACGAAGATGCGAAACCCCTCGCGATCTCCATCCTGGGCGGGGCGGGGAATAATTCCCCTAGAAAATGTTACTCATAATTTTTCCAGTTTTTTTTTTTTGGTAAATGTCTTTTTATGTTTGTAGAGTTTAAATGTTTATGTATGCTCGCCCATGCGCGTGTGTGTGGGTGTGAGAGAGAGAGTACATAAATCATGTTGTAGAAGAAATAAATTTATACCCTTGAAAAGTGGAAAGAAAGTAAAGTTTTAGGTTGATTTTTATTTCTGAAGGGAACTGGCTATGGGAAAGTTTTATTGTTGTACTAATCACGCAAAAAACTTTTGATTTAGTCAATGTGGTGAGAACATTTAAGATGCAATTCATGAGGTGCTACTTCATTTAAACATTATAGTGGATTTCCCCGTAGATTTAAGCATTTTGTTTGGAAGTGTTTACCATTGGTTTCAATATGATAAGGCTTGAATTCTTTGTTCTGAAGAAACAAATTTGATGAGGAGTCATAATTTATAAGTGATGTGAGGTCCGTACCAAATTTTGCACCCTGGTGATTTTGCAGGTAGTCTCACAAGGTGCCATAAGTGCACCAATGTTCTCAATGAAAGGTCCATCTATGGTTCAATCCCTGTACCCTACTGCTTTTCCCTTAAAACATCAACAAAAGGTTCGTATCATACATGGATTGCCAACAATATTTAGATCTACAGGTATTCTCACAGTGAGTTGATTTTTTTGGCAGGACCTGCGGCTTGCTCTGGGACTAGCCGAATCTGTGTCCCAATCTACTCCAATTGCAGCGGCTGCAAATGAACTCTATAAGGTCGCAAAATCTCATGGCCTTAGTGATCAAGACTTCTCAGCAGTAATTGAAGCGCTAAAAGTAAAATTACAACAACAAACGAAACAGTAAAACTTCGATCTTTGATTGTTTATGAAAATTTAATTGCCTTAAGCATGCCAGTTTAGGCAAAAGAGGATTTGTTTGAATGCTTAGGTTTGCCTTTCTCCAATGCAAGTTACACCTTCATTTGTAATCCTAGGGTTCCATTTCTATTGCCTTGTGACTTCTTGCCTGAGACGGTCATTAATGAATATGATGCATACATCTGTATCCCATCTGATCTGTTCATGTTTCCTATCTCTCTCTCTCTCCATTTACTTTTCCATGTTGAGTGTTTGTGCAGTTTATGGTCTTGGCCAAAAAGTTGAATCAGATCATGTTATTGAGAAAAAGCATTGAAAACATTAGTTGTTTTTAGAGTATTGCATGTGCTTCAATTGGAGTTTGATTGTGAATTGCTTTAATGAGATTAGGAAGCAATTGTCAGGGCTCATTACTTGAATATTAAGTGCAAGTCATTCATGGCTTGCAGATAAAGGGCCATGCTTATTTATAAGTGAAGTTGAATGTAATTAATTGTAAGGTAAGTCAAAATGCAACTACCTATTATTTTAATTACATTTTGTTATATATATATATATATATATATATATATATTATTTGTATCTGTTCATATACCAGCATGAGTTGTTTCTGGGACTTCACAATTGTTAGGAGACGAGAATAAAAATGGATTATGATAGTTTTCTATAGCTTGAAAAACTGTCTGTATATATATTTTTTATTTTTTATTTTCCCATCCAAGTGACTTTAAGTACATGCTCACCACGAAGCTCCACCTAAAGAATATCATACCCTGTCATTGACACATTAGACAGTGAATTTACTATATATATATATATGTGTGTGTGTGTGTATCAGTTTAGAAATCATTATGTGTGATTTAATCCAACAACTTGCAATTTGGAGAGTTGACCTGACATCACTTAAACCACTCTAAACTGGTTTTTATTTTCACAAAGAGTTGACAGACCATAATTTAATTTGATTTACACTTTTGTTCTTCATTTTCATAATCTGTAGAACAGACAAAATGGATGACAGAAGTACCTTATCACATCATTAACATTTATCTAGATTAGTCTATGGGACATCTCTCTCATGGGTGAGGACTGAACCCACTAATCCAGTGTCAACATGTAAGCTACCAAATGTTTTAAAGTAAAGTTGATGGGTGTTTAGTTGGAATTAAACATCAATGACTAATCACCCATCGTTTTATGTATTTATTTTTACGAAAGATTTGATTAGAAAAACAAAATATTAAAATTTTTGGAATTATTAAATGATATTATTAGTTAATTTTAATAAATTTGTGAAAATTCACCACTTTGATAACCATTGATAGCGCGTGGTGTAGTGTCGGATGTTGAGGGGCGGGATTACCGCAGTGCGCGTGAAAGCGCATGGAAGAGTGGGATTACCATTTGAGGTGCATGATGGTACAGTCACGAAATTGATCCGACATGTTAACGAGGCATCTCGTTAAACAGCGAGGTTTGCCTAGACCGGACTTCTCTAAACGAGGCATCCCGAAGGAAGACTTAAACAACGAGACTTCCCTGGACGGGGCATATGAAGATCTTGGAGTGCGGAAGCTTGTTGTTGGTTGACTACTGCCCATGATAAACTGGTAGATTGTTTATATGAGTATGCCATCCACAATAAACTGGTAGATTGTTTCACCTAACCTTTATTCGAGATAGATATTGTGTTAGAAATAAAGAGAGAGTACATAACTGTGTATTGTATGAATGTGTAAAATATAAAAATAGATAGGGATTTATATAGGAGGTAAACCTAAACTCTATACGGTAAACTTAAACTTTATATGATAAACATATACATATAAAATATATTCTAAAAATACATAATAAAAATATATTCTATAATATATTGAAAGGAAGGGAAATAAATGTTTGCTTGGTTTTAATTTTGGTCCCTTGTGTGTCAATAATGTTATTGGAGGAAAGGGACAAATGCAAGAGATCCCCACCCATCTTTGCCTTCCATCCACTTTTAGAAGGAAGGAATAGAAGGAAATATTCTTCCTTTGATCCTTTTTCCGTAGAAATTATATTCCTCTCTCTCATTTTTCTTTCTCTTTTACTAAAATGCAAATGCTATTATTGTGTGCCAAGAGCGAGGAGTTGGAAGAAAGGTACTCATGCAACTTAATTTGTAACACACACATCCACACATATATTAATATATATATATATTCTAAACTAGTTAATAGCCCATCTTTCTTCAATTATTTGAACAAGAAAAGTCAAGGACATTCTTTTTCGTGTAAAAGCAATTTCAATATGCCATGGTCATTTTAGGATATGAAAAATGACATAACAGAAGTCCCACCTTTCTTATACTTGTAGCATAGATATTTAATATGAAAAATGACATAACAATATATTTTTATTTCATGTTTTTAAATATAATATAATAAACTCAAAAGAATCAAATACAATTCATGTAGTGGATGGAATAAATATTCAAAATTTGTAAATCATTCATAAATCCAAAGCGATTACCGGATGTGTTGATTTTTCGTTATCAAAAAAGAAAAAAAAAGAAAAAGAAAGAAAGGAATAAAATTATTATTTACTTTCTTCTCTCTTAGAATTAGTCAAACATTTTTCCAAAATATAAAATATAAAAAAATCTTGTGGTCGATGAATTGTTACATGCCTCATTTGTCAATGGCATTCAAGGTCATGGGCCTCATGTCATGAAGAAATCTGTTCACATTTATTTAATCATTTGGGTCATTACCAATTTCAATCGACCCCTTCAATTGCCTAATCGTAACTCGCCACGTGTCCATCAACCTAGGTCAAAAAATAAAAAAATGTCAAGCGCATTCATAGCAAGCTGTGAAACACGCACCATCGTTCAGCATTCAATAATTACCATCCACGTGGCAGATAAATGAAATTTGATTGTAAAGTGTTTTCACGCGCTCGTAGATTCGCGTGTTCTTTTTTATTTTTTATTTTTTATTTTTATCTATCCACAAAGTAGCCTATATATAATATATGTAATATATATATAATTCGTCTCTGTTCCTTCTCCCACCTCCTTGGTACCCACTGGAACCAGTAGTCTCTCTCTCTAAATACTCTCTCTTTCTCTCTCTTAAAGCTCTTGTTAGAGTTCTTTTACTCTCGATATTACGCTCTCTCTATATAATACCGTTTAAACCGGTCTATCTATCTATTGCAGCAATCATACTTTTTCATTTTTCTCACTTTATTGCCCTCCTTTTTGACTCTTTTTTTCACTCTCTCTCTAGGGTTCTGATTCAACACAATCCTATTATTTATCTCTCTCTCTCTCCCTCTCTCTCTTTCTCTCTCTAGAAATGACAACTTCTGTGAAGAACAGCTTCTTGCCCCCTGGCCTGGTTTCGAATCTCCAGGAAGTTCTGCTCAGCAGAAAGGGGGGCGAAGAGGAGCAATCGAAGAACACTGATGATGATCCCAACCAATCCTCTTCTACTCCTTCTCCTTCTGATAGTGTTGATGAGCCCAATTCGGATAAAGACAGTTCAAAGCCTGTTGTTTTGGTCACAAATGGTGACGGGATCGACTCACCTGGGCTCACTCATCTCGTCGATGCTCTGGTTCGTGAAGGCCTCTACAATGTCCATGTCTGCGCTCCGCAATCGTGGGTTATCTGTAAATTTTGATTCTTTTTTCTGTTCCATATGATTTATGTATGTGTATATATATATATATATATATATATATTTGTATAGTTTGTTCTGCTAATTTTTTCATGTGGGTATGATTATTTTTCAGTGTGTGACTGGTTAGTGGTCTATATTTGGTGTTTGATACTCCTAATTTTGTCATTTGGGTATTAGATTCATTTTTTGTTTATGATTTTGTGAATTTTGTGGCTTTGTTGATATGTCGGTGGATTGATTGGTTTAGGGATAAATCAGTGTCTAGTCACGCAATGACACTCCGAGAAACAGTTGCAGTGAATTCAGCTGAAATTAATGGTGCAACAGCTTATGAAGTTTCTGGTATGATTGTATTTCCATCTTATTCGTGTTCAGTCTTCCATTACTGCAGTGTTGCAACCAATCATTAATTCGGATTTTTCTAGTTATTGAGCATAGGATTAAAGTGAGGTGCTTCTATAAATTGGCTTATAAGATTGCATAATTTGATGCAAGCTTTGCACTTTATGCATGGGTTTGATCTTATTAGGCTTTGCTGTCGGCTCTTTCATTCAGGGACTCCTGCAGATTGTGTGTCATTAGCATTATCGGGTGCATTATTTTCTTGGTCAAAGCCTCTGCTGGTATGTTTTTGTATGCTCTTATTAATGAGATTTGATGAATATGTTACTGATTATCTGAGGATTTAAATTTTGATCTGACATTCAGGTAATCAGTGGAATTAACAGAGGTTCAAGTTGTGGCCATCACATGTAAGTATTTTGCATGTGGTTTTATAACAATCTAATTAGCTAGATCTCCCTGCTTTACTTTGGTTAATATTTTTCTGCTGGGATTCCATTTCAAAGCAGTTTTTAGTTATGAAGTTCCTCATCTTTATGTTTGTTGAATCGGTGGACGTGTGTCTAGTCTGTGAATGTGTGTCTGGGGTTGGGTTTGATCATTTCTGCATTTATTTTGCCCCGGTTTGAAGGTTTGATTATGATTATTTTTCTTAAATTGAGAATCCCCCAGGTTTTACTCAGGTGTTGTGGCTGGAGCTAGAGAGGCATTGATTTGTGGTGTACCATCTATATCAATATCACTGAACTGGTGTGTGACTGTCCCTCGCTTAATGATATTTCTTCGTGTTTTCTTACAGTTGTTGATATTTGTTATGCATTGGTATCAACGTCTACAGGAAGAAGGATGAAAGCCAGGAAAGTGATTTCAAGGATGCTGTTAACGTCTGTTTACCATTACTAAACGCTGCCATTAGAGATATAGAGAAGGGAATTTTCCCCCAAAATTGCTTACTGAATATAGAAGTTCCAACATCTCCTTTTACAAACAAGGTTTGTGTCTTCAAGTATTCAATTGAGGATATTGGTTGTTTGAATGAAATTCATGTGATACAATGATTAAATAAAATGTTATTAATTTTTGCTTATATAATCTCCCTCCTTTAAGAGTTTTTTTTCTTTCGTTCTTTGCAGTCATCGTTACTTCCACATTTATAACTCGTTGGGTATTTCTTTTGTTCGTGAAGCTAAAAGGAATTTTTTTATTTATTGTTTTATCTACTAAGAATTCTTTTTCACTGTTGATTGAATAGGATGGTCTTCTTTGCTTTCTATTTTTGTTTCTTTTTCTGGAGGCTCTGGAACCTCTTAAGTTGTCTCATTGTCAGCTTGCAATTTTAGCTCTCAGGGAAAAGTGTCTTGGATCTTTTATGAATTCACTAGTGTACATGTTTGTGGTGGAGAAATGGGGTTAAATGCATGAGAATTTGGCAGAACCACTTTTTTGCTACTCATTTTTGCAATTAGCTGACTACATGTTGAGATGAGGATCATCTACAATTTTCACTTTCAATAATATTTAAATAACATTATTTCTCATTGAATTTGAGCTTTTGCCTTCTTTTCGGGTCGCTAACCGACTTAAAATGGGTTACTTAAGCCAGTGTGTGGTTATCATCATAGAAATTATGAAGAACTTTTTAACTGTCTTAACTATAATATGATTTTTTGTCATTTATTGAGGATTTGGTTATTGGACATTTCTCATTGTTGCAAAAGTATGTGTAAAGATTTCTAGAGGGACCTTGTCTTGAAGAGAAATTATAAAATTATTTAAGGAGAATATGGTAGAACTCCCGTCAACGGATATATAATTTGTCTCTGCAAACTGGTCTTTTGAGCTCTACCAATCTCTGATGTTTTTACTATTTTTTCGGGACACTTTTTAGCCATGAGGTTATTATAGAAATAAGGTTGGTCATGTTGACAACAATCCTACAGGTATGATGCCCCATGCTTCCAATAAGATAGGGAGTGCCCTTGTGTTGCCAGTGGAGAACCTTTAAGTCAAATCAATGACCTAGAATTATGAAAATTTATGATATTATCCCAAGGCATGTGGCTGAATAGCAAAAAAGATTCACGTAGCCTACCTCATTGAGTTTGTGTTTTTCTTACAATTGGTCTAGAAGATTGCTTGTGATGATGCTGATCTTGATTGGTCTTTTGACTTGGAAGAATTAGGAATTAAGGTTTCATATAAATGAATTGTATAAGGTCAATATTCTATATATATGCAAAACTTGGAAAGCATATTTTTATTAACCATAAGTACTTTATTTTGTATGCTAACCTGAAAATAAATATGTGATGAAGTTTGTTTGTTTCTTTTTTCCCCTAGTTTATGATGAAGTTTATTGTTGGTGGATTATACAGAATTAAGCTATTAATAAATTGATGCTTAAGTTTCTCTTAGAGATCAACCAAGTTCTGCTCATGACAATCACTTTGAAGGAAGTGACTATGGAGTCCGGTTTGGAATTCTGTAGACAAGCCAAATTACAAAGTTCAACAAACCATGAGTTAATCCTTTCTTTTCATAATTGAAATCAATGAAACTCACGTAGAGCTTTATAACCACTAAAAACTCCATATGAAAATGCTTCGCTTGATTTGTCTTTCATGACCAAGTTATATCTTGGTCTGACTTTGGTTCGTGAGGTGTAGTAATTGAGATATTTTAAGATGCCGAGTCCTTCTAAATCTAGTTGTGACCCAAAATAGTCTGGATCCATTTGTTGATGTGAATTATGGCCTATTCATAGAAGTGAACAAAGTTGTAACTGCACCCTCTATGATGAATAGAAGTGGGTGTACATTGCTCGTTCACTGGTTCAAATTTAATAGTTATGTTAATGTTACTTAGGAGAGTTGGTGGACTTCAGTACTTTAACTGCAGAATGCCACTTCAATCTTTGCCATGAGAATGCATTGCTTGCACATGGCATTGAATGAGTGGCAATGGTATAGATTTCTTTCACTTTGCTTATGCTACCCGTTCCTCTGACTTGGCAAAACATATTGTTTGTCACTTTTTATGGCTTCTGATATTTCCTTTTCTTTCAGGATATAATTTTCTTCTTAGGAACATTTTTGAAATGATATGCTTCAGGCACATCTTTTTATAATCTATATTTATATCTTGTCTTACAGGGCTTCAAATTAACTAAGCAAAGTCTGTGGAGATCCACACCAAACTGGCAAGCCATTTCTGCCGGCAGGAATGCATCTGCTGGACGCTTCATGTCCAATCAGCAAAGCCTTGGTATGCAGCTTGCACAGCTCAGTCGAGATGCCTCTGCTGCAGTGAGTAGCCACTAAATTTTCGTAACTTATTTTTCTTGTCTTGGGTATAATAGTGATCTTTTGTGTGTGGATTGCAATTTTTTTTTTACTATTTTTGTTTTTCTCAGGGTGCAGCTCGCCGTTTGACAACACAGAGAAAGAAAATTGAGGTTGTTGAATCAGTGGGAGTTGCAGGGAAATCTGATTCCAACCGGTCAGTGAAGTACTTCCGACTAGAGGTAAGAAAAGTTTGATCAGTAGGGCTGCGTTTGGAAGCAGCTTAAGAAGTGTTTCTCAACTACTGATTTCTGGTGAAATTTTTCCGAGTATTTATAGAAATGAGGAAGCTTACCGTCATAACACTAAATCTCTAGGAATTTAAGTTTTTCTATTTTATATTTTTGGGTAAATAGGAATTTAAGTTTGTTGGATAACTTCAATTACTAAAATGGTCTTCCTTAACATCATGTACATGCTTCTTATAAGAAAACAGAGAAGTTCTTTGAAACTGTTTTAAACTTGTAATAATTTAATAAATAAGGATTAATAAATTTATGGAAATTCTATGTAGAAGTTCAAAGAAAATGAAATTAATACATTTTCTGTTAATGCTGCTTCCAGATGCACCCAAAAACTTTTATTTTTAGGTTTGATATATGTCCTATAAATTGCAGTTTTTCATGTCCTATAAATTGAGTTTATAGTAATCCTGCATGCCATTGCTGTTCTGGTCTCTTTCGTTTTCTACGAATGGTCTTTGTTTTTCTTATGAAGGAATTGTGATTGCAGTTTCTGGACGAGGCGCGGGAAGATGTTGCTGAAGATCTAGATTTCAGAGCGCTTGAAAATGGATTTGTAAGTATTTTATCTACTTTCCTTGGTTTATGGCGCCTCCTTTAGATTACATAGAAATGAAGTGGTTTTCATCCAATTTTTATAGGGCTCATTCAAGTTACTTCAATGGTCTGTTGTGTTTTCTGTATCATCTCAGAAGTAAGAAGCTTTCCCAGAAATGGGATATAGGTTTTGCTTTAGGATTAAGTAATATGGCACCATTCAGAATTTCAGTTTTAATTATTATTGATCATTTGACGGTGATGGCTTGCATGTATTGTAAGGCCTTATTGTCGGTGATAAATTTTTACAAATATCCATGCTCATGAAGTAATGATATACATGGATGGCATAGTATACCCTAGCTTTTGAATGAGTAAACTGGAAGCCTGGAGTCCTGTCCAAATCACCTATATATCAAATGGAATTTTTTTTTTGAATGGGATTGCATCTTAAATATAGAAATTACTTCATTTTATGGAAATTGGCAAGACACTAGTTCAAAATGTTTCGCAAAACACAAGAAAACACTCACTTGACATACTCTGGCTGTGAAAAAGGAAAAGGTTTTCATTTTCATTTGGTTTCTAAACCCCCCTAATTCTCTCCCTGATGGCTGATTCTTTTATTTTGATTTGGAACAGGTTGCAATAACTCCATTCTCTCTTTCTCCACATTTAGAGTCAGACACTCAAACAGCTGCTTCAGATTGGATATCTGCAGCACTCCAAGCGGAACAACAATCATCAACATGATGAAACAAAAATCGTGTACATTAGGAGTTGCAGTATGTTGTTTAATATCAATTCAACATTATGTCAGTTCTTTCTTGTGCTGTCCCTTTCATTAATTTTCTTATCGTCTTCTTCTCCCATCTACATTCTTCCATCTTTTACCTTTGTTGTGGAGCAAACGCTCCCCACGTTAGTTTGTATGTTTGGCATGTTGTAAAATGGCAGCCTGTCCCTGTTTCTTCATTGCTGCCAAAATTCTCCGGGATGGGTTGTTTTGTATCTTTCTTTTTTCCCCCCTTTTCTCTCTTTTTGGCATTTTCCAAATGTTGGATGTGTTGGGTGGTTGTTTATTGTAGTTTGTTCAGTGTAACTTGAAATGGGCAGGTTAGAATTGTTGGTTGTAGTATTATATTTTGTTTTTACAGTTGTGTTTGTTTGGAAGCAATATCAAGGAAGAACGAATGACTCACAAGTTATGATGACTTGCAAATTGTGGTTGGATTTTGCTTGGAGATTGAATTGGGATAACATGATATGTGTGTGAACCACTTTACTTTTATGTGCCGGTGTTTCAAAAAATTAAAACCAAATGTATATCATCCATTATCCTGAAAACTGAACCGATATAACTCTCGACACACACACACACACACACACACACACATCATGTCTAGACATATCTATAACCATTAAAAATGGCTTGCCATCCTAATCCGAATGGAGTTTTGGTGCTTCTTTGGTAAATGGGTGTCTCTGATTTTGCTGTTCCTGACAATTTCTGTCCTTATATCATTGTATGTGTTCACGTGTCTCCATTGATGGGTTGATCTTAATTTCTGCAACACAAGTTTTAGTTATAGAATGTGTGTGTGGGCTTTCTTTATGTATAGGGTAAATTATACAGGGACCTCCCTTGTAGTTTGAAAAATTAATCACACCTTCCATAAAAATGAAACTAATTTATACCGACCTCCTTTTTTAGTGACGGACCGTCAAATGCACTATCAGATTTATCTAATTTATTAAAATGCTCTCAAATTATTTTGGTAAATGATTATAGTACCATTTATACATGTGACTGAGAGGGGATGGACGAAGAGTAATATGAGAATTTTAATTTATTCAGTACATGACATTAGTAAAATTCGTCATTAACTTCCATTGACTATAACAAAAGAAGGTTAGTATAAATAAGTTTCATTTTAGGAAAGGTCCAAATATTTTTTCAAACTATAAGAAAGATACAGTAAATCTTAGAAGAAGTCCATTTAATTTGTATATAGATTAGACCTCTTGCTGGTAATAAAAATCCATTGGGTCATCTGAGAAACTCACTTTTTTTTTTTGCAAGTGCAAGACAAAAAAACACACACCCACATAATTAGCTATGTCAGAGTTGTTCAGTGATTTGGGGGTTGATTCTTTGAATTTCGAATTATGTCAGATTTGTTCAAGCTAATTGGTTTGAATTTGTTCGAATCATGTCAGAGCAATGCCATATCCAAAAAAAAAAAAAAACAAAGGTTTGTAGGATTTTTGTAAATCTGCATAATCTTTTCAGAATAATTTTATTGATTTGTCCTATGTGCTTTGTCTTCTAATCGGCATAACATAATAACATGGAAATGAAATCAAATGATAATGTCTTTTCAATGTTTTTTCTTTTCTTTTGAGAGCGGGATCCGTATACGGACATTGAATTTGGTGAATTAGGTGTTGGATCAGGTCATGGAACAATGTACGTCTTTTCAATATTTCAGAAATATCAAAGCACAACCAAATTTCAATTATGAAAGTCACAAATGACCATTGAAAAACTATGCATATATATAATATATAGCTCTTTGTTCATGCTCCTTAAGTTTTACCATTCTCTCTGTGAACGATTTGTTCCCAATATGGGCTTTAAGGGCCTTTAAAGCATTGTTAGGAAACACGGACAGACTATATAGAGGCCGGAAGCCGGCAGATAAGAAAGCAAAATATTGGGTATACGTTGGTACTGATAATACAGTACCTCTGACTTTGACTCCGACTCCGACTCCGACTAATGATGAGTAATTATTTTTAATAAGTTAACAGCATATAGATTGATAGAGTACTACATTGTCAGTGCTCTCGTAATACGCAATATTATAAAGGACAAGTTGTTGCAGATACAATTAAGCAGGTTGAGGTATAATAAAACTGTTTAGAGACATATATTTGCTACAATAATTTTTATTTATTTTTTGTGTGGAAGTTAAAGCACACGCCCGTCCATTATATACAAGAATGTTGCACAATGCAGTTAAATAGAAAATAAAGAACATATTGTCTTGGCAAAGAACCAAATGAATCATTTATTGGGTTAAGTTCAAGTTTCCCTTAATACGGAGTATAATTGGTCAAAGAGTCAAAATCTATTGATCAAGTCAAAATCCACAAGTGCAAGTCTATCCAAGAATACATGGCAAAATCTAAAGATTCAAACTTTTCATGTAAAATTTGATATATTCATATTCAAATTCAAATTTGTTTGCAAACAAAGAGAGAGAAGTATCTATTGATTTTTTAAATTTAGAGCAATCAACATTTGACTTATAATCACTCTACAACTTCAAACACACTTCCTACTCTAAAACTCATTTAACACTTGAAGTCTTTGAACACGAAGAACAAGAAGCATGTCACACAAGTGTCGTTCTTTTTTGGAGACCTTCAACACTCAAAGATTCTGAAGACGAAGAACAAGAAGCATGCTATATTAGTGTCGGTTTTCTTTGAAGTTTTTAACCCCACCATTCGAGATGAAGCTCCATTGGCCCTCAATCGAAAATCTAGTTACACCTTTTTCAATCTGAAATATTTGAAGAAAACTTATCAGAACCGGTTCAAGATCAAGCTTTTGAAGCTCTTGTACCATATATCAAGAATATTGAATCAATTCTTAATTGTACAACAAATCAATCAAAGAGAATTGTACATCTTTTCTAAAATTAGTAATGTTAGAATGAATGGACAACTGTATATATATTTTTTATTTGTATGAACTGTACATAAAGATCTTATTTATAGGCGAGATTTAGGGGTAGGTGAGTGCTGCACAAGTAGGTTTATACAAGGAAATTAAGTAGGTGAATGCTATATAAGGCGTAGTTTAGTGTGCAAGAAACCCTAGGTGCACGTAGTTGGATAAGGATATTATAATACTTTGTATAATCTAATAGTCCCTCTCAAACTCAATGTGAGTTATATGAAACCAACTTGAGTTTAGAGACAACATCATGAAAGCAACTTTGGGAGAAATGTCATGTTGTTTCCGATAGGGTTTCAATGGTCTGAGGCTGTTTTTTCGAGTGATATATTTTGAACCTCAAAAATGACCTCTGAAAGACCTGTTCAAGTGAGTAGTAGTGTTTGAACACCATGTGTGGAGTGATAGCACTGTTGGTGGAGCGTGGTGTTTGTGAGGGAAAAAGAAATGGTTTCTTTGCAGAATTTTTACGATTGATCACCACTGGGTATGGGGCTGATGGTGCCATCCCGGAGGTGACAAAGATGGACATATAAGACTATAAGTAATGGATGGAGAAGACTAACAGTTATCGACTCGCTTTAATACTATGTTAGAATAAATGAAAAACTATATATATTGTATTGTTTATTTTCATGAACAGTACATAAAGATGCCATAATAGGCAAGGGTTAGGAGTAGGTAAATGTTGCTCAAGCAAATAGATGATTAATGCGATACAAGGTAGTAATGTAGTGTACAACAAACCCTAGGTGGTAGGCAAGGATACTTTAGTACTTTGTATAATCTAGCAAATAAAATTAAATATTTGTTAATCATTTTTGTTTCTAGATTTTCAGACTCTAAATTTGTAAGTACGCATAATTTCGTAGACGTTTTAATTAGGATATCTTCTAAACCTCCAAATATTCAATCATCAACATTCTTATCTTAATTCCATATGAATAGAGTAGTGAATTTTCTTTTTCATTCTTTTTTATTATAAGTCATCTCACCTATTATATTTAACTTTTTAAAATCATTTATAATAATTCCATTCCTTATTAATTTTGATCACCTCAGTGTTCTTATCTTCTATGCAAACTAGTCATTCCGACTATGTATCATAACATTCTTATCTCCGCTACATGAATGGAATATTTTTACTTCTTTTTTAAAGCCAACATTTTGCTTCATATAAAATAGTTGGTCCAATTATTACAATTTTCTCTTTTCTTTTTTCACATCAAATACCACTAGCCTGTTACCATTCCACATACTGATCCATTCTCAACTAATTGGTTAGGAACCACTATGTATGAAATGGAGTGACATATCAAATCAAAGTACTTCATGTTTATTTATATATTTGTTAAATTGAAATCTTTTTTTTTTTTTTTTTTCCATGAATAATCCCATATTATGTTTATTACCATGGATGCTATGTTTGGTTTGGCAGGAAATGACTATTAATAGTTGCTTCCTTGGCACCAAATAAGATAGATATATGTTCATTGGTATTTGATATATTGTATTTCTCAGGTTTTCCAATTTTTGTTTCAAAAGAAATGAAATTACATAGAGAAGGTTAGCATTTTAAGCATGAGGCTTGGACCATTTTGAATAGTGGCATGCTATATGTATATGTTCACATTTTCATAATACCGAGATGACTTGATCATATAACCTTGTCATTAGGAGACTTATACATCTGATAAAGTTAGAACAAAAGAAGAACCAATCTTGTTTGGTATGGTGAAATATCTACATTTATTGTCAATATATACTAATATTAGTCTATTACCTACCAAACATGGACTCAATATCTGATTGCTTAAAATAATCATATGGAAACTTTTTCTATTTAGCTGAATTTCTATATGCCTACCAATTATCACACCTAAGTACCCCACTTAATTAGAGAAACATGCTAACTCATTAAACTTTTTTGAAGCATTAGGGTTTCTATTTCCCTAAATCAGGCATCACAACTCTTAATATTGTTCTTTAGGCCAGACTGGTGTAGATACTTGGTTACTGATTTCTGCTTAATGTATTTTAGTAAACATATACTTGGAATTAAAGTAACTTATGAGAGACATGTCTTTAAGTCTACCTAAAGAACATGTATGTGGTTGTAATATTAGTATCATAAAAAGAAGTGTTGGTTCTTTATGTTGAAACTAAATGAAATCATTTTGATAACAGATATCATTGTATTTTGAAGCAATTGAAAGAAAAGGAGAGGTGAGGACAATCATATAATTTTTTTCTTTTTCTTTGAAGGGTGTATATAATTCCTAATATTAGACCACACGATGAAATGGTTCGCGTGTCAATATCAAAATTTTGAGCATTTTTTTATAGAATATCTCCAATTTGTTAAAGTTTGACTTCCCTTCACTGCAAGGCTACGTGATCAGAATAGGATCAATTTCCATGTGAGATCATGCAACTCATTGAGGCAAGAAATCAAGATGG